CCCCCGCGACCATCCGCCGCGCCAGCCGCGTCGAGGCGTCGAGGAACAGCCGAATCGACTCCGTCGGGGTCGGCGTCGCCTCACGGGGGATTTCCTCCGCGTGGAGGGGGGTGTGGGCGTCGGGGACGAGGCCGAGATCGAGCGGTTCGGGTGGCGGCAAGGAGGAGGAAGAGGGGGGGGGGGGGGGCCGCTGTCGTGCGTAAACGCCGCAACGCCTCGACCTGATCGTGGTAAATTCGCCGGAGGAGATGCTCGCCAAGACGACGAAGCCGCAGCTCCCCATCCTCCTCAGTGTTAAATGGTATGGTGGGTGACGAAGAGGAGGAAGAAAGGGGAGGATCAGAGGAAATCGACTCTTCCCCTCGCTCCGACGCCCACCACGCGAGGAGAACCTCACGAAGGTAGTTTAAGTTTCCCGTCTTTTCCACCTCCCCATCACGCGTGGCGGTTCCTTCCCCCTTTTCCGAGGACGGATGAACCTCCCGAAGAAAAGAATTCTCGCCAAATAACGTTTCATAAAGCTCCTTGGCGAAATGAACGCAGTGCACCATCGTCGTCGGTCGTGCGTGAATCGTGCAAACCGCGAACGTGGGTTGCCCAGATGGGCGAGGATAACAATCGTAGCATTCATAACAGCCTTTTAAAATCACCTGCACCTGCCCGTTATAACCCATCGAACCACTCTCGATTAGAGGCACGTTCGCGCGCATACACATTCGATTCACATGTTGCCGTGCGGAAACGTTATCGAGGGCGTTCAACACCGCCCGGAAACGGGAAAAAAAATCCTCATCAAAGCACGGATCCTTAATATCCGCGTGATAGGCGATCACGTCTTGAGGAAAATAAGAGGCGGAGGAGGAAGAAGTGGAGGGCTCATCTGGAAGAGTCGGAAAGCGTTGCGCGCGGCCCTCCGCCCACCCTCGGACGGCGGCCGCCGCAACCGCCGCTTTTGCGCGCCCGACATTCGCCGCGGTGAACAAAAACTGCCGATTGAGGTTCGTCTCGTCGATGGTGTCGAGATCGAGGACCTCGATATGGCGGAATCCCTCGAGGTGGAGAATTTTGAGCAGCTCGCAGCCGATGCCGCCGGCCCCGACGAGGAGGATAGGGGCCCCCAAAACCCGCCCCCTCGAAACCCCGCAAGAGGGCGCTGCCGCGCGATGAAAAACGCGCAGCCGCAGCCGACGATCCGCCACGACGATCCACCGCGGAAGAGGCGGTGAACAGGCCCCTTCGCCCACCCCCTCCATCGAGAAATGAAACGACCACACCACGTATTTTCCCCCTTCCGTTTGCGTTTGGGTTTCATCAGTTTGGTTTTCCTTCGTTTTTGTTTCCGTTGGTTCCTCCTCGCGGATTTCCTCACGGACGACGAGGCAGTCGTCAAGGGAGGGGTGGTGAGGGAGGGCGTCGTGGAGATACGAAAGCAGCGCGGCCCTCAGCGAGGGGAGGGTTAACCTGGGGAGGGTGATGGAATCGGGAAGAGCAGAGGGGTTTGAGATCCCCTCGCACTTTCCGTTGATCAGGTTCGGGAGCTCCGGTGAGGTAGAGGACGAGGAAGAAGGAAAATCATTCGAGAGGGGGGTGGAAGAGGTATTCCCACTATTCCCATTCGCGTCGACGCGCGCGCGTTTTAGCTGCGGTTCCGTCTGCTCTCCCGCCTCGAGAGGTGATTGATCCACCAGAAGGGGCTCTTCGGATGGCTTCAGGCTCTGTCGAGGTATAAGGAGGTAGCCAACGGGGAAATTCATTTTGAGGTTAATCTATACGATGTCCTTAAGGTATATAAAGAATCATGCCCGGAAGGATAAAGCCCGTGATTGTGTATGTCTGTGTGTGTAGCTAAACTTGACATGATGGTTGCAAAAAAGCTGAATTAATGGGTAGCATAACGCTTTATGTGGTATAGCGGACCCTTGATGCGCTATCCGTTGAACATTGTTTTCAAATTATCTTATTTTTTAATCCCAGAGTAAAGGAAATAATGTGAATAGAAATAAATAGCAGCATATATAACTATAAAAGGTGATAATAACTGAGTTGTCGATCCACTCCCTTTACCATTTTTTATTTAGACATCTCATTCCTCGGCTTGCATCTCCGCCATAAAGGCGCCGTTGCCTGGCTTTCTCTCCCCCATTGTCGGTGTTGAAAGACCAACCATTCCTTGCTTGGGGGATATACCTCTTTTAAGAGCAATATCCTTGTAGTGATTGTGAATATAATACCTGAATAGGATGATCACAACCTCGGTTGCGTCCTCTTCATCGTTCCCATCCTTCGAAGTCCTTTCCAACCAGGAAGCACTCACGGCATGGCTGGCGACGAGTGGAGCCGTTGCCATGCGGCAAAGCGAGCAGATTAACGTGCAGGCCTCACACGCCGCGCACGACGCACCCCCTTCTTTTGTCGAAATCCCCGCCTCAAACCCAACTCCAGGTAGGGGTTTTGCCGTCAAATCCAGACCTGAAAGGGTGCCCAGGCATGGCGAAGAATAGCACCATCGAGGGGGGTGAACCATGGGGTTGGAAAAGAGGCAACCCATCACCAACCCCCCAAGGGCTCCACTCCTCCACGACGGAACGGCGGTCCGCGGCATCGCAAGCAAAGGGGGTCGTTTGGCGTTCGACAGTCGATAATTCGACCGCTCCCGGGGGTGGCGGAGGGGATGCCACCCTTCAACCCCCTGGGAGGGTTCAACCCTGAAGGAACCCCCCGCCCTCTCGCCTCTAAAAGGTGGCGTCCGACGCGCCATCGACGAAGGCGAAGTCGTCAGCCCCGCATCCCCCCATCGCCTACTCCGCCCACCATACGACGCCGCAAAGTTGGATAACGCATTCGAAACCGCGAGGGGTTGTGAAAAGAAAGGAAACGGCGGAGGGGGAACCCCTTCCCGAATCATTCCCCCACCTTTCCCACCAGCGGTGTAGAGGGGTTTAAACGGGTAAAACACACATCGCCGTTGCATTTCCGAGGCCTCCGGCTCGTCTTGCGAGGAAAAGATCAGATCCGATGCCGTCTCCTCCTCCTCTTCCTCCTCCTCCTGTTCCTTCGCATGCGCCATGGGAGCGGTTCGCGTTTTAGTTTCCATGTATTTCGCTGGATACGCGGCACCCCTTTGATAGGGGGTATCCTCGGAGGATGGGAGTATTCCCCAGGGGCGTACGTCCGCCGCCTTTTCCACGTTTTGAGGATCACACCTTGGCCTCTTTCGAGGACCACAATCCACCGCCAACGGCGACGAAGAAACCGGGTTCAGAACATTTCGGTAGGAAGAAAAGACAACCCCACCCGTGGAAGGGGGATGAGGGCCTCGCCGACGGAAAGCTCGCGCATCCCGCGCGGGATTCCTCGCTGGCGCGTTCTCCCGCACCTCATCCTCTTCGTCTTCGGCCGCGCGGGTGTTAGTGGGGTACCCACCTGGAGGAGAATCTTTCCACGTGATGCCCTCTTCCCACCCTCGATCGCGTGAAGAAAAGGCGCGTTGGATGGCTGGCGAGGAGGCCTCTGAATCGCGATCCACCCCCCTCACCGGATCGTCATCGAAGGGAAAATCTTGTCGTGGCGTTTCGCGGTAAACCGCCGCGTTCATCAAAGAGGCAGGGCGTGGTAACGGAAGGGCCCGCCGATGATCCAGCAGGGCAGGGTGGACCTGCACGGAGGGATGCAGTTGATGCCGAGGCCGGTACATTCATTTAACAGCCCTTGAGTCCGGGTTTTTAGATCTAAACGAGAAGCGAGGATGAAAAATGGAATCATGACAGACATAAAGTCTTGTGTGAAAAGTCAGACGTGGAATAAATAGCTCCCCTCCCTCCCCCCCCCCCCCCCAAAAAAAAAAGGTTACTCATCTTGGCTCATAGCTAGATATTAACACAGATAGACCCCATTCCACCAAGGGTAAAAGTTTTGATGCTCTCGAAAAATATACGCGCCATAGTTGGATATGTAAGCAGAAACACCACCAAGTGAATCGCAAGCGAGCTTATTGTCATACTTGTAAGTACCCACAGTAAGCTTTGCCTGTTGCGAATATATATGCACAGGTAGATATATATAAATACACAAGTAAATTTTTCTAAAGGAGAGATTTACATGTAAACCTTGTTTTTGCGAATTTATACACATTTTTGATTCTGCATAAGATTTAATAATGCGAGAAGTAGGCTCACTCTAGGGACCAGGTTTTAAAAACAACACTCATCACTTCCCTGATTTTACACAATACGCGTCGCTAAATTTATTGAAAATAAGCCCCTCAAAAGTAGTAAAACATTGGAGTTTACGTTCAACATATTATTCCTCCAATTGCATCAAGAAAAGGGGATATTTAGCAGCGACACAAACTAGAAAAAGAAACCAAAACCAATACATTCCCATCTCCCATGAAACTCAATTCGCGTAAAAACGTGATAATGGCCTGCACGAATTTAACCGCGGTGGGATAATCCGGGCAGTTGAAGGAAACAAAAGAAGCAAGTCAAATATCATTTAATTTTTTAAATTTTTTATTTCGTTTACATATACAAGTATTCAGTTTTTCGTGAATATGCATGGTTTTTTTTCCCACATATTTTATGAGTGAATTTACCAAGGCATTAAAGATTTGTCTCACATTTTTTTTTTGAAACCTCGAACCTCATTGCCCCTATTAACTTTATTGTCATTATTTGCCATGAATGTCAATTATCACTTCGAAATCCGTTTACACTTCGCGAGAGTAACGGAACAATCATGTTGACCTCATCCTCAAGAACCTTTGCGTTCCCTAAACGCTGTATATTCCCAATGAGGAAAGCAGACAAACCAAACAGTGACGCTACCACATGGATCACTGAAGACATCACCGAATTCAACCAGAATGGGCGGCTGGCAAGGCTTTTTGCTATGAAAGCAAAGTCAGGATCCGATTCGTTACTTAGCCATCGACTATCAATACTTGCTGCAGATGGATGAACTGTACCATTAACGAACCCGAAGATTTGAAGAACTCCAACTGCTTCAAGAATTTTAACTATACATGAAGAGAAACAATTCGGGATTGAATGAGAGACGGCTTGAATACTTCCAACAAAAAAATTGCTGATTTGCTCATTCCAGGTGTTTTGATACGGCACTCCTACCGCACTGGGATTGCTGTCGCCAAACTTCATGCAATACAGCCTCCGAAGCAGCTCAGCGGTGCGATTCTCCTGCGCTGATGTCACCCGCATCATCAAGTATGCATTGATGATGACAATACTCATCGACACGGCCGATATGATTCGAAACATCTTAATTTGATTTCGGAAATTCGAAACTTGGCTCTGTAAAAGGCTCACAACCTTCTCAACGACCTCAAGATCTTCTTGTGTAAAGTTCACCATCCGAATTGTGGGGCTCATAACTTTGCTCCCGGGTCTGGAGTCGTAGCCATCGGATCTCGCGAGCAGAATCAGCCGCGCTCCGACACCGTAGTGATCGGATATGGGATATAACTCGGCTTGATCCACCGCGTTACACGCCGCCTTCTCCCCATTCAAGAGAGGGCTCCGACCGAAAATCGCGGTCCCCACGCCGCGAAGCCGATTATACCAGACGCTCGCCCACCTTACAAAGAAAGAGGGCTTCGACATTCGACGCACCTCGTTCTCAGTGAAAACCACCACCCCACTTGGCACCTTTGTTCCATCAACGACACGGTAAAACGGAAACCCCTTGGCGACGTCCGGGCAATCCTCAAAAGATGCCATTCGAAAAGTGTTTGAGGAATAGAAAATGTGATCGATCTGTGCTGGGATGTCAGCCTCCTGCTTCAGAAGCTTGAAGTAGGACGTGCTAGAGGAGTTGAACGAGTTTCGATAGGAATAGGTGAACAGGCTGTGGATGGGCTCTAGCAAGGGGGCCTTCCCAGTTTTTTTGATGGACTTTTTCTCAGGCTCATTCGGCGAAGGAAGCACCGATTGCATCTTGTAGCCTTTATTTCGAAGGAGAATGAGCATCATTCGAACCTCGAGCGAGTCTTGTGAAGAGTTAAAGTCTCCGCCTATGATGACGTAGTTTCTGGGACTAGACGTGTTGATGATGTAGTTGGCCAACGATATGGCTTGGCTAATACGGAATGGTAGGTAGCGCTCATCCATATGATTTGGTAGCTCTAGCGCTTTCTGATAGCTGGCCACGAGATGAGTAATGTAAAGAATAACCGGCTGATGCAGCACCTCCAAATCATCGCTGTCCAAATCTGAAAGAGGCACATTCACCACAACTCGGGCAACTCCCTTGTTAGCAAAGAAGTCACCGTGCAGAAGCATCTCTGGAATGCCCTGAAGTGGATAAACATAGGAAAAGGCTGATAGAATGGGATATCGAGAGATGACGGCGCACCCACAGCCATAAAAACCGGTTTGAAAACGGCAAAAGTGGTAGCTCTCGCGTACCTCAGGCGAAAGTTGTTGCTTAATAAGCTCTAAATCTTTCGAATCAAATTGCTCTTGAAGAAGAATAACGTCGTAATTCTCAATCTTGGATGCAAAGTGAATCATACGCTCTGTCTTCATCTTTGAATTGAAAATGCCCCACAAGTTAAATGTCAGCACACGCATACTAGCTAAGCTCTCCGACATTTTTTGTATAAACCTTCCTTAATACAAATTTTAACCTTATGCTATCTTTAGAAACCTTACGACTAGTTTAGTTGCTTGAATAGAAACTTAACTGTAAGGAAATAGAAACACAACATGGAAGGAAAAAGCTTCAACTTTAACTCGAATCGTTTGCCTTATCTATTTAATTCGTTTTCAATGCGATACAAAGTCAAAGTATTAAACTGAAGTCTATATGACAACCAAAAGCAAGCAACAAAACACATCAAAAATCCATTCATCATAGAAATCCGCTATTTCTAATACTTACTAGAGTGATAAGATACTACTTTCCCCTAAAGAATACCAAAAAAAAATGAGCTGCTAGGTGATGCGCACACACATACACACACAAATAAAAAACGTAATATCTAGAAAACGGGTCTGCGAAAAGTGTTCTGATATACCAACGAGTACTCCTTTCCACATCGTGCATCTTCTCAGACTTTTTCCCACTTCGGTATTCTTTCTTCCTATCCTTATGCGTTGGCAGTCTGGTCCGCCATCCTTGGCATCCACGGTGCGATACGATTAAGCGGATACGAAGTGCGCATATGCATCTCAGGGCGACGCATATGCACGCGAGGCTGTAGGAAGCGACGCGCCTCAAGCGGGATATCCAAGGGCACCTTGATCGCGACCTGCTGCTGCTGCTTCTCTAAAAGTTCAAGCGTCTCCTTCAACCACTTCTGATCCAGCTTCTCCGTGTGATGGATATGATCATGAATCGCATGCAGGTGGGCGTGCCCTGTTTGGATCTGGTCGTGAATCATGTGATGCAGCTCACTCACCTGCTCCGGGGTGACCTCTCCGACCTTCTGCGCGGGGTTGCCCGCCCACAGCTCTCCGGCATACACCCGCACATCCTTCCCGACAGCCGCTCCTGGGGCGACAATGGCGTGATTCTCCACGACCGCCCCTAACGCGATGCTCGCGCCCGCCCCGATAAAAACGTGATCGTGGATATCACAGCAATCGAGGGTCGCGCCGCAGCCGACGTAAACGCTCTGCCCGATGCGCACCTGCCCCATAAGCGTCGCGCGATCCATCACGACGGTGTGATCGCCGATCTCCGTCGCCACCTTGGTGTGGTAGTTGCGGATGACGGCGTGGTAGAAGACGCAGCAGTCGTGGCCGAGTACGATGTTCCCGCAGAGATGCGCGCTGGGCGCGATGAAACACGCCTCCTGCGTCCACGGCAGCATCCCACGATAGACGCGAATGTTTTGATGCCGCATGACCGGGTACATGTGCTGCCGCTTTCGCAGGTAGTGCCCCATGATACAGAGACGACTCCCGACGTCCTTGATCATGAAGCCCAGGTAGGGCAAAAATCCCGAAACAATTGTCGCGTTATTCGGCATTTTCGCATATCAACTTTTCCCGTCCCCACGCGCTGTCAGAATCGTGGCGTAATGGAGCACGAAAATTGAGTTGTTGTTCTTGTTGCTGTTGTTTTTCTGGGGGAGGGAGGGGGGGGGGGGGAGGAGTGGAGGCTCTAAACAGGGTTTTCCTTGAGATTTGCCTTTTTTCCTTGTTGGACCAGGTTCCGTTCTCACGCCTCCTCTTAGAGGATTTTATTCTCAAGGCTCGTGGACACGTCAAAATGCGCGTGAGTAGTGCTATCTGATTAGGAGAAATATATAATAGTATAGCAAAATATTGTGGTATGAGGATATTATGCTTGCCTATTCATAAATTAATACACAAAATACTTGGTAAAGAAAAGATAATAGAAAAAAAAGGCAAACATTTGTGGTATTGAATATTTGTTGATCTTCCTATTTGCCGGAGACAAAGGAGACATTACTGTTGTTCATTTATAATCATCTTTTTCTTGGTTTATCTTTATGAGATTTACAAAAAGGTATAACCTACAATGTCTATATTGCTTTGCTACTAATATTAGCAATCGACAGATTCGTACATTTTGGCTATATTTCCCCTTAATAAAGTGGGATAAATATGAAAGTATATGCAAAAAAAAATTATAAGCCCAATATTGTTTCTTAAGTAAAAAATGATCCATTCACTTCAATGTAAATGTATTTGAATACCAAGAACAGTAAAAACGTATTGTCGTGCCTTAATTTAGGCCTTTCCACACTTGAAATTATAACGATCAGTTTCATCGTTAATAAATAAAACTACAGGATCACGTAACAAGCATCTAGAAAATATTATATGCTAAAGTTAATAATTGCAATCGCTGAGCTTCAACGCGGACTCGATTTAGCAATCTAATCCTAGTATTTTTTATTTATTTAAAATGATAGTAACATCATTTCTCCAAAAAATTTTTCCACAAAGATGTATTAAAAAACATATACACAATGCAATAATAGTAAACATAGATGAATTTTGTTACAACAAAAGTATATTATTTATTCAAATGCTGCCAACATGTGGACAAAAAGAAAACATGCCCCTATATATAGGGACTTTAAGTTAAATCTAGTGTAAGCTATCATAATACTCGACTGTTATTTTTTAAGTTGAATAACATAGAGAAAAAAAATCCAATATAACACTAGAAGACAGCAAATAATACTGAAAACAATGGGTAAGATTTTGCCGTTCATAAGCAAAGAGATGAATAACAATGAAATTAAGAAAATGAAACACAATTGAAATATTTTCATTTTTCGTAAATTATTGGTTAATCAACTTGAAATTTCAAGGTGATATGCTTAAAGCTTTCTTTTCACATTATTCCTGATATCTTTTGACAAATCAAAAAGGAATGATTTCACGGTTAACAATGAGAGTAAATTAATGCTTAAATATTTTGTTAAAATTTCGCCACGTTTACAATTGAGTTGTTAATTTAGCTCCCTTTTTCTCAAACTTGCTTTGCAGTCGTAACTGCATCCGTTTTATTTGGCTGCTGGTTACTTGAATGTTGTTTAGAAATTTAAATAGAATCTCTACCCATAGAAGTTAAAAAGTAGGAGACTTTTATACGTATTGAAACAAAAAAAACACTAAAACACATAGTGCTTAAAATCAGTTAAAGGAAACATGCGATTCATATAATTATACAACATAAATAGATAAGTTTTTCCGTGTTAGAGACTGATATAAGAATTAGAAATTATGTATAACAGGATAATACGCATTGTTTCAATTCGCGTCTATCCACCTTGCCGTACGTCCTAGTAATTGCGAGAACACACAAGGCATAAATGTGAATAGAAATTCCTGTGGAAGTTTCTCCATCTATAGAGCAATGGAATGAGAGTGGGAAAAAATGAAAAGAACACTTAGTATCGCAGTACAAGAACTAGACCAATTCGATTTAAGAGCATAAATAATAATAATAAAGCCTAGAATCATTGAGAATCATCCATTGTCGTGAGTATTTCTTTCTTAAATTTGCATAAATTAATTAGCACGAAACTATGCTTTCTTCATTTATTATCAGAATTCTCTTTTCAAGTTTAAAGAAAACAAAGTAAATAAAATTAATTTACGACTTAAGGAAAAAGACTTTGCGCAACGAGAATGAAGAAGCACAAGAGTAAAGTAAAGACGAGATTCTTTGAATCTAAAATGAAAAAAGGTATCATCAAAAAGATTCCGAAAATATTTTGCATAATAGCGCCTGGAACATACGCTAATAGATATGTCTAGCGCGATTATATATCCATAAATATAGATATATATTTAAATAAAAATCAATGTCAAAAAAAATTAATGAAAGAGAGAGTAAGAAGGGAAACTATTTAGTTCAGCAAAGCCTGCACATTTTCTGTTGTGAAAAAGTTATTTCACAGCAAGAGAAAGGAATAGTCTGTGCATTACAGAAGCTTTTTAAAGAAATGTGTAGAGAACAAATGCAATAATAAAAAAGAAAGAAAACATTTTTGTCACTTATGATGCAAGGAACTTTGCAAAAATGCAAGTTTGCTTGAATACAGGAAAAAGAAACGCATTCTTATGAGCAATGCCGAGGATAAACTTATCTCCGACTATTCTGTGCTTCCCTTTTCCTACGAACAATGTTCGTTCATCAAAAAGGGATTGGCAGGGAAATAAGCCTCCACATAATAAAAGTAAAACCACAATGTTCATAAATATACATTTACTCTCATTGTTCATTCTCTTAAGTGATGCTTCAATATTCTTGAGCACACTGTTTTGCATTAAAAATTATTACCTGCACAATGTACTGGGTTTCCGAGTCATAATTACCTCTATGGGGAAAGTAGAGCACTTTCTCGTTAGAACGTGCTTTTCTTTTCTTCTCACAAATCGCGAGTCCTTAGCATCGGAAGACAATCCAGTGGACTCGTATCGTTCAAATCGCCACATTGACGTAGCGTGACTTTTGTCAAATGAACGCAATTCACGATCCACTTAATGGAATTGATCCGTGTGTTAGTGGCACTGAAAACACGTAAATCCAAAAGCTGACCCAGCGGGCTCAGGTCCCTCAGTAGAGAGCAGTTGTCCAGAATAACCCGGTTAAGTTTTGTACATGCTGCAGCGATGGAAGCGATATGCTCGTCTGTAACCTTTGTCACGCTCAAGTTCAGTTTTTCAAGGCAACAGAGGGAAGAAATCGGTGAGAAGTCCTGTATAGTCCTATTAAAGGACACATTTAAGACTTTAAGATAGGTGCAATGCCGGATCCAGCCCAACTCTGTGAGCGAGTCGTTATGAGATAGCCTAAGTACCTTGAGAAACCCCAAATATTGTATGCAGAACCAATCTACCTCATGGTTCCACCACCGCAACTGCAGCTCCTCCAAGTCGAGGCACTGCCGAAGCATATCCAAGTTGCTTTCCGGGTGCGGCACTTCGATGATGAGATGTCTTAAGTAAGGCAGACACAACTCCCGAACCTGATCCGCTGAACTCAGCCGTAACCCCTGTAGCGATTGAAGCACCACTTGCTTAAGCTCGTCGTGACAGCGGAGCCAGTCGATATTGGTGATAGGAAGGTGTGCCATGAAAATATTCGAGATACGATGATGATGCTTAAGAAAGCTAAGATCTACTAAATTCGGACAGTTCGTCAGACGCACGACCTCAAGCTGACCATGCACCTCATCCGTATCCGATGATGGAATCGGAGTGCTGTCCTCCCCAGGTACAAGGGATGTGATGGCAAGATCCTTTATATCGAGTTCCAAAAGTTTTGGGAGTTTCTTGATCACCGCTAGATCACGGAGCTGCAGACACGAATGGACACAAAGGATTTCAAGTTTGGTGCAAGAGCTGAGTCCATCTAAGGAGTGCAGCTGGTCTAGTCCGTGAAGACTCACCGCCATGAGCCTGGTGAATGGGAGGAGTTCGCTTAAATCGCGACTTATCCCTGGGCAATTATCAAGCACCACTTGGTGTAAGGTCGATGTATCGGCTATAGACAACCATTCAATTTTGCAGCGCTCCAACTTGAACAGAGAAAATGGTGGAGCTTCATTGGACGCATCCGAGGAAATTAAACCCTTTATACTGTCCTTGCTTAGGGGGATCGATTTCAACGTGACAGCAAGGGGAAGAACATGCAAGCATCCCTCGTAAAGTATGGGACGGAGACACCACCATTTTGCGCTTTTGAGAGAATCTATTGCGGCAACGTGAGTGCACGTAGCGACACGTACACGTCGCATAGTACTAGAAGTGTAGCTCCTCAGGCTACTAGTATTGCTGCAAGAATCACTGGCATTTGTGCTAGGATAGCCGTCATCATGTGTGAGCCACTCACCGAACTGATTTTTATTCACTGAAGAGATCTTCAGATGAAATAAATCTTCCGTGTCTTCCGTTTCTGTGAGCTCCATGGCAAGGCGTGCACTAGGGTGGGTTGCGGAGAGAGCCTTGGGGTTCGTTTTCGAGTATGCAACCACCACATAGAAGATCCACGGAAGTAACATCGTGTCTCGATCTTTATTTTTTTTATCAATATATATATATATGTATATATATATATATAAGTAGATATCCGCAAGAAGATATAAATATAATTCAAAAAATAGATGTAATAAAAGCGAATATACTATACAAAATGGAAAAAGAAATCAAGAGCTCCTTTTAAATGGATAGCTTTCGTTTCCTCTTTTCGAGTTATTCCTGTATAAGGGTATGTTCTTGAACAAATAAATGCAGATATAGAAATGTTTATGTGTTATGTATCTTATATTTAAAAATATAAAGACAAGAGGCACCGTTTTTATTCAAGGGGTTGAAACCAAATTATAAAACTTTCTTACAACCCTTTGTGTTGTTGTGACCGTAAATAAAAAATATGCAAAAAAAAATTACCAAGGACACAAATTGGTGCTTGGCAAATATTTAATGCATGAGAAAAACATAGGAAAATTCAAAAAAAGGGGTAAAGTAAGTGGTATTAAACAAAATTGAGTAGGAGAAGCGGCAAATCAAAGACTCTTTCTTGTTATATTACTATCATTAGCAATAGTGTCTTACAAAGGGGCACACACACTGTTACTTACCACTAAGAGGAGATGGGGCTTTTGGAATAGCCTCCGTCCTTGGTTTCTTACATCTTTTCAGCAGAGCACGCACAGGGGACACCAGCTTCGATAGGACGGGAGCAGTTGCCATGCAGAAACCCATTTGGTATGAGAATAAGGGAAGTGTCAAAACGTTTGCTATGAGGTAATTAAGGAAAAGACGCGGGGATAACCGAAACGTGTTAAACACTACCGGACCTACATCCAAATAACACTCGTTGACATTCTTTAGACTGATCCAACTAAGCCAAGTACCGACTTCCCCAACGTAGAGTTGATTTGTGTGCAACAGATACGTTAGAAGAATCGTGCAAGATTCCCCTAGTACATATAGATATGTTGCAAAGCTTAGGCCCTTTTCAGCCGCAATGCGATTAAAACGGCCCCTCATCAGACGTTGCTGGGAATACTGTCCTTTTGAACGAACATGCGAAGCGTCATTACTGCCATCGTTGATATGGTTTTTGGCGGGGGTTTCGTTCTTTAAAGTTCCGAGACGCTGCTGCTGGGGTCTTATACGAGAACCTGACGCAGGAAACTGCAGTCGTTCCTGCGTTGGTTTCGACCCTGAGGTTCCCGAAAATAAGACTGTCCTTTTTTTCTTTGGAGGGTGATTCGGGTGGCGCCATAGAGAAGAAGAGCAAAAACAGCCGTTCCCATTTCGGGCAAAGGTGCTGTAATTCCGAAAAAATGGATTGGGATGCTTGGAGCTACGAAGATAGGTGATCCTAGCCACACAACGCCAAGACATTCTTTTCTATTAATTAATTCACAGCTGAAAGTAGCCACTTAGAGACGTATATTATAACGATACGCTAATAAATTTCGCAAAAAAAAAGGCAAAGGTCAACTTGATTCACACCAACGTATTAGCCCGATCCAACGTGATGTATTTTCAAGCCCATGAAGTCAAAGACAAAAGGGAGTAGACTTTCCATTAAGAAAAACTTATATCTATTATTTCCATTCGCGGATTTAAATCAGTAGCTAAGGAACTTTCTTCAGAATAGCTTCTTTCTAGAAATGGATGATTATGACTCATCGGAGATGTTTGTTTCCTCGTCGCCACTATAATCCCCTTTGCTGAAATCATCGCTTGTACTCATGGAGCGTCCAAAGATAGGTTGAGACATCGTCTGGATATCCGCCAAGCTTGGCCCATGCTCCTCTTCTCCATACAAGACGTGGCGGATCCCATTGAGCGTATGACGCAGCACTGGCAAACGTGGCAGCGTCTCACTGAAGTACACAAGGCGCCTCGAATCGTTTTCAATCGAAGAAGAAAGCAAGAAGATAGGCTGGTAGCGATAGAAGGCATCATGAATTGCGATTAAGCGTATCAACATTCGGTCCACGAACCGCTTTTCCCGGACGTGGTTGAAAACGCCAAAGCTGGTAAATTGCAGCCCAATGCCGCGGATCGCGAGCACCTCCTCAACATAGACACTGCGGTAGGCACGAATTAATTGTATCATTAAAAGTGTCCAGAAAAAAATACAGGCCGTTACATTCAGCTTAAGTGAGGCGAATGCCTTCAATTGTTTTTCGATGCCCGAATCAAGACCTGATCTCATGCGGTTGCTATCTGTTGCACCAGATAGATGCAACCAGTGCAGATGGTGAAGCTGTGATGCTGAGGTGTGAACAACACAAGACAACAAAAATGAAAGAGATGCCGCAAGGAGAAGCATATTATTTGTACTAAGCAACCGAAAGAATGGCGAAACCTGGTGCTCGCGTCTGTACACACGGTATCCACGCATTGAATCGCTATAGATAATCTCAGTGAAGTTGATAAGTGCGCCAGTATTGGTCGTCTGGTTGGCGAACACGAGTTTTTCGGTCGGCTGCAGACCCTTCCTGTCGTCCAATAAAATTACAGACGGTGACGGGCCAACAGAACTATTAATTGAAGGGTGAAAAACTCGATCCCCAAGAGTTGATCCCGTTTGCATAGATGAAGGCATAGCGGACGCCATATGGGCGTCAGAACTCGAGTTACCAGGTTTATTCACCTTTTCAGGAGAACTACCTTTGCTTGAGGAAAGGGGGTAAAAGCGTATTGTGGAGGTCACCTCTCAAATTAATGCTACGTGACGAAGTAAAACAAGTGCTGACAGACAAGCTGAGGAAGCTAAACAACCTGGTAAACTAATAATTTGTCTAGATAACACTCAATAGATGCCAATTTTTTTGACTGAGTGGACAATTAAACACCCAAAAAAAAAAAATAATGACGGAGAAGGAATTAAAGAATCCGGTTAATTGTTTCGAAAGAAAAGGTAATACATCGACATTTTTCAAAACTTAACAATTCCACCTTTTCCTAAAAAAAAAAGGGTTAGAGGAATAGGGATAAGCGAGTGGTGCAGGTTTAAATGAAAGATTTCGTGCGTCAGTGATTATCCTTGTTTCTTGTACTCAGCCAACCACCTCAGCGAAAGGGTTATGTAAGAAGTGATGCAACTTCATTCCATCGTCCTCGCCGATGGCACCAACCAATGCAGCCTGCGAGATGGTGGCAAGACCTGCCAGTGAACCACAAAGCTGCATTAGTCGATTCTTGTTCGCTGGCGTCACGCCGGGAAACCTGGAAAGGACGCGGGCGGCGTAGATCGATAGCTCTTTGCTTTGATACTCCTCGTCCTCGTCGTTAGTGCCGACGTCCCCGGCCGCGGTGAGTGAAGGACCACTGGGGTCCATATTCTCCTGCGCCACCGTTTTCTTCAACCTCGCGAGCATCGCGGCGGAGTGTGTCGCGCTGCGCGACCACAGCACGGACATCTGTGGATACGCCAACAAGAGAGAGGCTGTGCGGGTATAAAGAGTTCGCATGTACGCTAGATCCGCGGTCGCAGGACGTGAAAGACTGAAAAAGACAAGTCGAAAGGGTTGGTGGCGGTGAAATTCAATAAGCAGAAGTGGTCGCTCGTACCGGCGGCATAAGGTGGCGAGCTGGCGGTGAACACGACCGGATTGAAGCGATTGGGTGTAGTCGCGAACACTTTTCCGCTCCATCGCGTACTGGGGCGAAAGGACATAATCAGCGGTGGCTAGCGTCAGCGGTACAAGGTCAAGATTTTGTTTGTAGAGAAAGTACGGCAGCATGGATCGAAACTCGCGCTCATCAAATAGGACAAGGGGCGCATGCGGACTGTTCGGCTCCGTGGCGGCTTCGGTGTGGTTGTATCCTTTTCGTGCGGACGGCTTCATGGCATGAAGAGCGGGCATCCGCCTGGAGGAGGTAGGGAGGTTACCGCTTTCCAGCATCGCTTCCGTCTCACGAACAGAGGCTCTATCGGCAAGCATGATGCTGGTAAAAGTGGCCTTGGCATGTGCAAGTGCTTTAAATGCTAATTTTTCCTTCTCAACCGTTGCTTTACTCTCCTCCTGAGAAGCGATGGTAGCCACGAGCTGCACCTTCAGTGCGCGGAGTAAGTGGCCCTCCAGGTGATCCTGTACCGTTTCGAGGGTTCGCAAGAATGCAAGATGGTGCCGGGCTAGAATAATACGACGCACCGCAATGAGAATGTCGGATCCAGGCGCGTCAGTTGCGGCTGCACCGCTCCCTTGATACCGGTCGCCGCGCGATGGGGGCGCACGAAAGGTAGGTGGCGGGACCGCTGAACCCCGATAAAACGTGGGCTCACCACGCAGCAGCGCGAACAGCTCCCCGGCTCGTAGGTCACTTCCATCGGCCACCACAACTCGCGGCCTGTTGCTGCGATCCTCGGCTTGATCATCCTCAGCGATGGGGATCAATACCACCCTGCCCAGGCGAGCCGTCTCCAGTCTAAACCGGATGAACGGCGATGCAGCGAAGCTTGGATCCTCTGTATGAGCGGATTCGACTGCTGGTTGGCTATCCGCCAGGGTGGACGGCGTATCAAGTCCGTTAATCGTCGCCTGTTTCAGAAGGGCCGGGTGCAGCGAACCCAGTGGGGATGCGTCCACCTCCGCCTGAGTGGCGTTGTGGGAAAGAAGGGATCCACCATGTGATTCTCCCTTCGTATCTTCGTTAACGCTCTCCTCGTCGGAGCTGTCCAAAATAGCATCGCTGTAGCTCTCACCGGGCTCTTCACCTGCAACCACTTTCTCCACCCAGTCTGACAGGTCAGGCGGCGACAGGGCGCCGACATCAGTGGGTGGTCTCACCCCTTCGCGCTGCACGGAAACCCCGTAGAAGACCTGATAGCGGCGCAGAAAATTACTCAACTGCAGCTTCAGGAAGTCCTCACGGGTGTACATGATACGCTCGACAAAACGCGCTACTTCACGGTAACCAAAGACCACCACTAGAATGCCAGGCACTGGGGTGAAAGGTTGCAGAGCAGCCCCTCCTTGCCGTTGGGTGGAACCTCTTTGGATATTCGGCGTTTGACTCTGTTTACGGATGCAACCTCGCACCCAACTCAAGGCTAATCGGTGGGCAACCTCGAGCTCCGTATCGTGATCCTCCGCATTCGGAACGAGTGATATGGCGGGCGTTGAGGCCGAAGCTGAAGCTGAAGGCGAAGGTGGGAGCGGCGGTGGCGGCCGTGTGGGGGGATTTGGCTCTATAATCACCACTTCATCGTCATCACTTACCGTCTCCTTTTCATCGGCGGCTGGCATCGGCCAGGTCTGGCGAGCCTTCGCGGTCTCCGGATTCAAAGTTGACGCCGCGGACGAGATCACCACCTTGCCGATGCGCTCCGTAGCGACGGTAACGACGTCGTTGAATGAGGATGACATCGTCCAGGAGGCAGTCGGAATGGCATCGGCCTCCGGTCTCCCAAACCTCGGCTTGGATGCAAAGCCGCCTCCCTGCCGACGGCGGTTCAGCACCGAGAGGAGGACGAAAAAGAAGTCGTGCCGAGAGCACATCCAGAGTCGTCGACGCAGGTGGCGTAGATCGAGAAAACTCTCCACCAGGCTTCGAAAGGGCCATTCTGGGGGGTTGGATTGGAGGGCGATTTGGAGATCAGCGTCGAGGTCGGTGGATTGGGTGTCGAGGCAGGTTTCGTCCGAGATACGCGCAAAATAAATGTGCGTCTCGTCCGCGACCCCTCTCCAGGCGCCCACACCAAAATAATCTGGGGATGAATGTGCTCGATCCGCCCCAGCCGCCTTATTGGCCAGATCAAAATGCTTGGATGCATAACTAGTTTGATACGTAAGGTGCTGCTCCCGACCGCTCGAGCCGCCGTTGGACGAAGTCGGCTCCAGACGAAGCCGCACCAACGGCTGGAATTGCTTCAAATCGTCCTCTAGGAAGGGAGATGCGGATTCACGTCTAGGGGCATCCGAGTTTGATTGGATTGAAGAACCCACCACCTGATCTTGACGAAGTCGATGCTGCAGCTTACAGAGCTCGGACAAAACTTCACGTAGTATTTTCTGCAGCAGGGCATCAAGGATACGGGTTGACGTGGGAACGTTCACAACAATACGGTCAACTGTGAGGGGCTTTTTTTTCGAAAGCTCCTCAAAATGTTGTATAACACTGAGACGAAAGGAAGGAAAAAGTTGAATGTCGCCCACATGCATCGCTTGTATAAACTGCTCCCGGCCAACAACATGACGACATACGAGGTAACGAACGGTGGCGGGGCAATCACTGAGGACGATGATCCGAGTCTTACTGTTGACCGGACTCTCCAAACCATCATAGGCATGTTGATTAAAGAGGTAAATGGAGCGCTCACCACGGAGCAAGATCTCAATACAAAAGGCTACGCTGGCCAAGGTAGACTCTACAGTAGGGAAGCCAGTAAGAGGAAGGCATACCACCGCAGCTGCAATAAGAGCAGGACAGAGACGCTTGTGCAAGAGATCAGCACAGAGCATGCGGCTGGTAGACACTACCACTCCACCCTGTTGAAAGGTTAAACAGCGGTCCTTGGTGGAGGTCCCTTCTCGTAGAACGTGTACTGGGAGGAGCCTTTTGTCTTCTTCAGGCCCTCTCGTGTTGGAGGATTCATCAGCATCAAAGACCTGCTCACCATCACGTGTAGCAGCTTCACAGTTAAAGCTATTTATAAAATATCCCAGAGAGTTAGCGAAAGAAGTCATCAGATGGTGAGGTAGACGATCAGGGACTACTACGAAATAGAGATGCCTCCCACGACTCCGGCACTTTTCCTCAAGTATAATACGAGATGCTACGCTCTCAATACACATCCCACTGCTCAAAACGCAGAGTTGAGTACTGATGAAGTCAGGAAATGCTTCTGCACACTTAAGGGCTACATGTTCAGCGATTGAATCATATTCCATTTCACTGGCCTCCTTTTGTTGGACGTTCAGAAAGACAAATGTATGCCTTCCTCTTTTTCTGAACCTCGGAGAGGGAAAGAATTAATGCAAATAAGGAACCAGAAGCATGAAAAAGCAGTCCATGAGTAGAAAACGAGATCTGTAAAATACATAAGGTCATAACAAAAAGGTATTCCTTTAAGGAATAGATCAACCAAACGAATTTTAAAATTACTCTAAGAATTTACAATCACGTAGACAGGTATGAACAAAGCGGGAAAAGGGCATATCTTCATAAAAGAATAAAAAAATTGAAATGGAACTCCAACCCTTTTTCTAACAGAAAAAGGGGCTCCTCCACTTTTTGATTTCATAAAGAAACAACAGATTCTTGGTCTCATGAACGCGCCTATCGCCTTTTGCCACCTTTGCCGTAAAAATATAAGTGCAGAACCAAAAAAAACATAAAGAAGCAGTACAAAAACATTCGGATCCTACGGAATTCCCCACACGGCAAAAGATACTACTTGTAAAAAAGCACGCTTACGGTTTTATAGGTAGGTGATATTTCTAGCCGATATTTAAATAACCTAATAACATAGCACAAAAATAATACTTTCATTAGGTTAAGGGGTGGCGAAAGCAGAGGAACTGGGCAGCGCCTTAAGGATGAAAAAGGTCGAAATCAAGAAGATTATTTCTTAATTCGAAGTACTTTTAAGACCAAAATACTTGGCATAATGAAAAAAAGAAAAGTCTTTCCACGTGAATTGTTGAATAGCTAATCTACGAATCAAAAGCCTGCCCGTAAGAGTAATTTATCTCACTCCGGCGATAGGCTTGCCAGCACGCTGCGTTGTAGGGCCTGACTTTGTTATATGGACTACCGTTTGAGCCGTTGTAGGTTTTTGTGAGACGCCCTCGGTAACCCCGTTACTCCCACTCTTCGGCTTTACTTTATGGGCAACCGGTATAGGAGTCGCATGGGTATTCATCCTCTCACTCCCTCTCGGCGTGCCCAAACCCTCCATGACGTGATTTTTGGGGGAGTTAGCCGAAAGAAGCGGGCGGGCGCTGCACCTCCCATCCGCCCTCAGCTCAATCGTACCCCGCCGCGATGTCGACTTGTCGTGCGACGCCCGAAAACTCCCCTGCCCACGTGGGGTGGCGGGGAAGAACGTTGAAGGGAGGGGGTGGGGATGGATACCCCCGCCTCCCACCCTCACCGCCGGCCCACTATGCCGCTTTCCAGGACTTGGGACGTGAATTAAGGCGGGCACCGGCACCGCTCGATCCCCTTTGGTCTCTCCCAAACGCGTTTTGGCGACGCTCTTTACACGCGTCGTACTTCCCGGCCGAGATGGGGGGACCGGGGACCCATTCACCGCCTTCACCCGCGTTGCCCGCCGCTCAAACGGTTGCGGGGCGGCCTTGGTGAGGGTTCGTTGAAACGGGGACCGCTTTGGCGGCGGGGGGGAAAGTCCCGGAAGGGTGGGGCCCCGGCGAGGTGGAGAGCGGGCCCCGTGTGGCAAAGGGCGTCCGTTGCGGGCGGGCCGGGCGAGGGGTCGTGAGAGGTGGGGGCCCGCCTCGTAACGGGGAGGGTCGTCGTCGGCCGGCAGGGGGGGTCGCGGCGGCGGCGGTGGCCCGTGGGGGGACCCCCACCCGCCTCCGTGTCACCGTCGCGGAGTGCGAGCGGACGAGACGGGCCGGCGGGGGCGGGGCCGGGAGGGCCGTCGCGAGCCGGTGAAAAGGCTGCACCGGTGTGCGTGTGGATTGGGTGCGGGTTAAGGGCGAACAGGCGGAGCGCGTGCGTGTGACACGGGCCGGATGAGAGGGCATCCGTTTAAGTGGGGAGGCCTTGTGGGCTGGTAGGGGGCGAGCGGCAGGGCGGGCGGCCCCAGGGATGGCGGAGTGGGTTCGCACCAAACGCGTTCTCGCAACAGGGGCGTCCCCTTGAGGAAGGCGGCTTGGGGGGGAGAACGGCACGAGGGGAGAGGTGTGAAGCTGGGGGCGGCTTGTGAGAGGACTGTGGCGCTTCGCCGTGGCCGCTCGGGTGGTGGGGAGATGGCCAGGGTGGGCGTGTCCGAACGGGCGGTCTTGCCTCAGCGCGTGATTTTTGCTCAAGGTGCGGTAGAACAGATTCGTATTCACGGAGACGTTTCGCGTTAAGCGCTTACTGGTCTTCGAATGCGTGCGTTGGAGTCGAGTATTGGTGTGGTGGTCGTGTTTGGAGAAGGAACGGCGACGTGGGACCCTGGGTGTGGAGCGACTCATCCGATCACGTCTTATGAAAGTAGAGCTCTCAGAAAGTCGAGGGCTGATGCTGACCACCGCTTGTCTACAAAAATGGAGATTCTGCACCGGGGTTAACTCTGATTTTAGACCGACGGCTAGGGTGTCCGACTTCCTCGATTTTAGCTTGGCACTCTCATGCACACAGAGAGACATGTCAGAAAGGGTCGGGCATAGCGCCGTGGAGTCTTGTCTAGGCTGCAGAACGACGTGCAGGAGGCTTGAGCGCGGTTGGAAGGAGGAGGAAAGGGCGGAAGTGAGGCCAGAGGACCTCCGCTTGGCTTTCTTCTTCGACAAGACGTTTTCGGAGGACAAGGGTCCCCCCGAAGTCCGCAAGGGCGGGGTGATCACCTCACACCGTGTCGCCCGGGATGGCTTGAGGTTCGTACTAACGCGCTTCGCCCCAAGCACGACCACCATCTCCTCGGACTCCGGCGATACGGTTACCAAACACTCTGCGCTGTATCGGTTCACGGAGGTTCGCTTCTGCTCATCCAAAAACTGGGCAAAAGTGGGAAACCGTGGGGCAGGACTCAGGCTACGGTCGGACTCCACGGGGCCGGAGCCCAAATCCGAGCCCGTGCTGATGCGTCCAAGGGAACACATCGACACGGGGTTCTTTTTTAGGGAAGAATGCGTCCCCTCCACGGCGACAGCCTCTGCGATGGTGAAGAGCGGATCTGTCCTCTCCTCCTCACGCACGACAGGTTTGGTTCCTTCCGCGACGACGGAAATGGTCCGACTCGCGAAGGTCAGCTCACGCTCAAAGTCACGGACGCGTTTGGGGTCCTCGCTAGGCGGCTTTCTATCGTTTGACAAGCTTATGGAGCAGGAATGCATGTTAGAAAGGGCTGCACGACCATTTACTTTCTGATCCGTGCAGAGAATAGCTTTTGATACTGGTGGCGAATTTTCAATATCCTCCTCAATGTTATGAACGGCTGAAATGCCGTCGATAGAGTGGTGAACTGCTATTGGGGACACGTCGCGGTGGGTCGTGGTGATGCGGGTGAGGGGCTCTTGCTGATTGGCTTGGTTTTGCGGCTTAGGATTTAGTATCCCAGAGCGTCTCGTCTGTCGCTGCTTGTCTAGGTCGTCGTCAAAGTTGAGCTTTCTATTGGCAACACTCGTATGGCCTAGAGTGAAGGGATGCGACATATCACATGAAATAACGCCTGGTTTCGAAATTAAGCCAGAGTTACGCGTGGGATCCTCCTCTTTTTTCGAAACTAAGGTGCAAGAATTCGTTTGCGGGCCAGCTATCGCCTGTTCCACCGCAGTGCGGAAGAAAGACTTCATAATACGCTCGGCACGTTGGTCGCAGTACTCCATAACGCGCAGCACAAGATCTGCTCCGTAGGAAGTTTTCCCAAACAGCTTCATAAATGAAAACGATTTATGGCAGACATAGCAAAGACGCACCTCCGGTTGGCTCTGGGGCTCACAGCAAAACTCGCAAACGGGGTAACCGCAGCGCAGGCAGGTGGATGCGGATTTGCACTTCTCTGCTGAGGTCTGGAAATTTCTACCACAGCGTTGGCAGCGGCTAAGGCGTCCCCGAGAAGGCAAAGGCCCACCTGAAATGCGAGAGTGAGTTCTTGGGGTGTTCGACCCACTTAATTTTATCTCATCAGTGCGATTTGAGAAGAGCACTGAGAACCCCTTCTTGTCTTTGAACATAGACAACATTTTTTTATTTCGCCCGGATGATGAATATCATAAAAAAAAAAGGAATTGAAAGTCGAACAATCTAACGCGGTTCTAATGACAGTATGCGTATATATAGGAATTACAATACTGAAATGATGAAGATCAATTAAAAAAGAAAAACTGAAAGCGAAGCAAGTATATCTAAATAGATAAATATATATGGTATAGATCTGTGTTGTCATTTAGAAATATCATAATAAATGATTACTGAGTCCGCATAGAAGCCTTAAGCGCTTCTGATACAATAACTGACGTATTTCGCAAAATCAGAAATAGACGGCCATTTGCAGTTTAGAGTCATTCCACCATCCCCAAAGGAAAGGAATACCAGCGCCCAATCGCTGAGTGCACCAAAGGAAATGAACAAACAAACAAAGCACAAACCTTTGCATGTGAAGATGGAATATGCCCTATCGACCAAATGGAGCCCGTTTCATTAGAACCAGTGGCCCCACATCAAAGACCGTCGTCCAAAGCAGCTACCGGGAACCACCGCCAAGCGCTCAGCCAGACCCATGAGATAACTTCGTGGGGGCCGATACGGTACGGGTGGTGTAAGCTTCCTTGTGTGCTCAGGCGTGGCAAGGCGCGGCTCCCATGACGTCCCGTCCGCAAACGACCCCAACATCGTGAGCTGCGGTCGGTGCTGATAGTACTTCTCAAGAGGCCGCGTGAGCTCCGTCGCGGGGCGGTTCGGCCGAAAGTAATGGTAGAAGGTAAAGATGGACTTCCCTCCCGCACCCACAAGCTCTAGGGTAGATGACGAGGCCACGTCGAGCAGGGAGTCCTCAAAGGTTATAGCCAAACACAGCAACCGTAGGTCATCCGACGTGAGCAGGCGCACGCGAAGAATGGAGGCGATGGTGTGAGTAAGCGTGCCGTAGTACTGCATGGCGGTGGGGTCTGCGACGTCGTGCGGTGTAAAGCCCTCTGGTATCGTATCATGGGGCAGAAAATACACCATCCCAGGTAACATCTGAAGTCTCTGATGCTCCCCAAGTACAGGGTGGGACTTGGCGGCTAAGTGGGGAACTTGCACAAGGGATGCGAGTGTTAGCAACTGCTGATAATGCGGGGCAAGATACATGTGGAGCGCGGGCGTCTCATGGTTGATGAGCTCCCATGGCAATTTATTATAGGATACTAAAGAAGGGTACTTGATACTAGTGCGAAACTTGAGAGATCGCACAACTAAGCTGGGTTTTAGCATGGCGACTGTTTGAATCGTTTAAAAGGTCGACTTCCTTTATATCTTCACCCCTTATTGGTATACGTCGTTATATAAATACTAGTTAACATTTGAACCCATCGATCAGAGGGCCGAGTTAAGAAAAAAAAAGTAAATGGGAAGATGGATAAATAGGATATCCTGTAGAGTAGCCTCGGTCAGATAAAAATTATCTCTTCAGAGAGTGCAAAGATCTTTTATGTTTCCATTTATGCTTTATTTTCTTCTGTATATATATATATATATTTATATATTATGTTATATATAGATGAATACTATTCTTTTCCCACATTCGTAAGCAAGACAATAAAAAAGCTATGTCTAAACAGCTGCAAAACAGCGGCATATGCCTTATATTAATTATCAAAAATTAATTAATATAGGAAACATTATGGGAAGGCAACCGAAAGACTTTCGACTTTCATTTCTCATTTACGAAAGCAAAAAAAAAAATATAAACGAAACAATCTTCTTTTTACTATTACATGAAAAAAAAAACATACCAAAGAATAGAAATGGTACGAATTTGTGAAAAAGAGGTCGAAGTTCCGTTCTAAATGTAAATATATATTATTTGCCTTCGTTGATTGCTCGCTATTTTTCCCGGGATGTTTTTTCTCCAATAATATCGCTTTATAGAGCAATTATTTGAACTATTTTATTCAGCTTATAAAAGAATTTTAAACAGTTTGAAAAATTAAGTAAACAGGAAAACTCGAGAAACACAATCCTAAAACGGAAAAAACGTGCTCATTGAAAATAGCGAAAGAGTAGAGCTTGTGGGTTAACATTATTTGGAACCTGAGAAGAAAAGAAAAGAATGATAACACCTTGGATAAGGTGTCCCATAGTCGAGAAAGGAACTCATAATTTGAAAAGATAGGCAACAATGGACTCAATAAGGGAAAGAAAAAAAGCATGCATATTACAAAAACAAAAGCACAATAGAAGTTTATAAATCAATGGATGTTATAATCTTATCAGAGTACTGTGATTCCTTTCTACTTTTCTCTCTATTCCTAGCATGTGTTCCGTTTTCCTTCTGGATATAAATATCTGTGCGGGGGTCTGTGGTGCGATGTATAACCTCAACCCTGATGAATATTGAAACCGTACACATACACTATGACTAATATCCGGCATGTTGGGCTGCAGCTTCGGGTAAGCGTGAGTTGTTATGTTCCATTCCAGCTCGTATCTTATGTCCTTCGTCCTTCTCGCGGCTAGACTCACAGCGGCTGGATACGGAGTCGCTGTGCTCAGTCGAGGGTAAGATTCCATTAAAGCTCCCACACCTCAACCTGGGAGCTTTAATTCTGACCGGCACAATCAGCTTGATAGGCCTACCAGATAACTCACCTAGTTCGCTCATAATTGCTGGCTGGCTAACGGCGAAATCCTTAGCAAATTTTACATTTTCAAAGCATGCAAAAAAAACAAGGCAGAGGGTATCTTTGGGTGCAGGTAGGGCAGGTGTGATGTGATCGCAAACATGAGTCTGGCTATCGCTTTCCGCGCCCGACGCGTTAGCCTCCAAAGAACCTACCTCGCGATCGTTTTCTGTTTGACTAGACGGTGGAGTGTGGTCCGCAGAGGATGATTTGGTGTGAAATGTTACACCCTTTACACAGCCAAATCGTTTCTCAAAGAAATTGAATACGACGCTAGCGGTAGTGGTGCTTGGGAGGTTTTTAACCAATAGACTCTGTTGAGAATAACATCTCGTGCGTTCGGCCGAAGTCATGGAATTTTGCAAATTCCGAAGCGCTTCTAGAAACCCTATATTGGGCTCAGCACCGTAGCGACGACGTCGTACGTACTGCAGGGCCTCCGATACGGACCACCCGTTTCGTTTGATAAGGTAGGCCATGACTATCGCAGTGGATCGGCTGACGCCTTTCTGGCAGTGTACCAGAACTCGTGGCAAGACAGCTTCTTTCTTCTCCTTCGCCTCAAAGTACTTCCGCCGCATGCTTTCAATCAAGTTGCTTGTTGGACGAAAAAGAGGAGTGATATCAGCGTTGCAAGAGTCCTCGATCTTGAAGGGGTAGACAACAATGTTGTTGTCTACTGACCAGTACTCTTCTCTAGATATATTGAGGACACATCGAATGTTTTCTCGCTCAATAAACTTCGCATCCTGCGCGTCTAGCACACTACCAATATACAAAAAATCTAGAATCTTGCTAGGTGGCACCCGTCCACTACTGGGGGTCAGCTGGCTAGAGACTCCGTTTCGGGTTCTTGAAATGTCGATGTATAGGCTTCGTAGATCGAGCTCGGCGCCTGCGTTTGGAGGGGCCTGAAATAGGTAGGGTTTTCCCTTTTTCCGAGTACCTTTTCGACACTTCTCTATGCAGCTGGTATCTTTTCGTTTAGTATTGACATTACTCGTGCTGCTGCAACTGTGTGCTAAGTCCCCTGATTGTGTTAAATGGTTAGCAGAGAGCTGTGGACATGCGAGGTGATCAAGAGTGATGGGAAAACTATCTGCGGGCATTGATCGCCCCATTGATAAGGGAGTAATTGCTGAAGAACCCCTGACGAGGGAACTTCCGCTTGGTTCCAAAGGCATGTACCTATATTCAATGTGACTAATTCTTAAAAATAGCTTGTGATTTAGATTTCTGGAAATGGAAAAGATATGCCAAAAAATGATCCAATTAAATTAAAAGCACAACATTTTCTATTCTCAGTTTTATCCCGATCCATTTGGTGTGATACAAATTACGTCTCAGATTAGCCATGAATAATGCGGTTCGAAGAGAATGACGCAATCGAAGGCAGCCGCATGCATATATACGCCAGCGAGGAAAAATGAAGCCTTGTCGCAGCAACAAATTAGACATAGCTCGATTAAAAGGGCATGGAGGGCAAAATGGAACACAAACAAGAAAATACTTGCGACCCCAAATCGCTTGATATACGAATAGTTTGACGCTTTGGAGAAGATTACCATGGAAAATATGAGAAGGAATGCGTTGAATCGGTTTCAGCGCTCCGGCTCAAGTTTCCATTTAAAATACTCACACGTAGAAATCACAATGTCACTTGGCGTGACGAATTTGATTACGATAAAAACATGCCTATGCACCTTATTCAACCAACGAGCTCTGAATAATTTCAACAATGCTATAGATCAAAAGCTCAGCAAGCGCAGTAATGCCGGTGCGCACATTAACATCTATGCCCTTCGCCTGATCTCTTTCCATTTCGCAAAGCAGAACTGCAACATGCCTGTTATCTGGTGTGGACTTGCTCGCGTGAACAGTACCGTATAGAGTTGCCATATCCTTGAAAATATCCATGGGGACCAACCTTAGAAGTTCCCGAATCAGAGGGACCGCGATCAAGAGCGTCGCCTTATTGCAAGGAATGAAGGCAGAGGCTGTTGTGGCCTCCTTCAGAGCGCTTCCAAGCACAGACCTGTTGAATTCCGCCACCGTCAACCTAGGAGGCTCCGGTTTGATAAAGAATGCATATTGAAACGGCATTTGAAGGGGAACACAGCTGAGCTGGCCGTTTCGAGTGCAGACTAACGAAAGAGGCAAAGGCGCCGTAAGAGATGAGGGAATCCGCGTTAAACGGACCGAAAACGCCACACGCGCGGTGGCGCCGGTCTTGATCATTTTTGCGATAGGAACCAGGTGAGTAGTATCAATTTTATTACTCTTCGCGTATGCGGTCGTCTCCATGGTCAGTTCAAACGCAGAGCTCAAATCCCGCTTATCCCTAGAAGGCTCAAGCACCAGAGAACCGTCAGCGTAGGCCTGCTGAGCACCGTATCCCACACCTTCACCCTCCTTTAACCCAAGAGCAGCCTCCTGCAAGGCTGACGAGTCGGATAAGTTGCTCACCTCTAGCACCACATAGAGTTGGATTTCATTTGTGCGTATCTTACACCGATCCGTGTAAAGCACGACCTGTAACGAATGCTCATCACAGAGGGTCACCGGTGGAGGATTGAAAGTCTCCTTTTCGTGTTTCAAAGTCTTTCGCTCCGGGTTGTGTTTCAATGCCTTGTCTTGCGTAGCATCACCATCTCCAAGTAAAACTGAATAAGGGAGAGTTTCTGGAAGTCGCTCATTCTCAGATAGCTTAAGCGTCACATCAATTTTACGCAGTCTTCGTGTCGCCTCATCTTCCTCGAAAAGCTTCTTTTCTCTGGTCTTAGTGGTCGCAACGTAATTATGTGGTTTCAAAAGATCCCTATTGATTACATGTGATTGGTGACCTGGGCGCTTCTTGCAAGATTTATGGAGATTGAATGAATCACCTTTGACTCCATTATTAATACTTTTCTTGCTGGCAACCGTATTCTCGGTGCCGCCCTCATTCATTAGTGGACGATCCACCAACGCATCGTCTGCGTCATCAAGATAAAAGGCGGACATGTCATCACGGCGGGCCTGTTCGAGCTGCTGCTGACGCTCAATGTGATATTGAAGGTCAAAATTATCCTCAAAATTGTTTTCCTTGCTAAACCTTCCAGCATCTTCCTCATCATCATCGCTAGAGGAAAGCGCCATTAGCGCGGACAAGTCCTCGCAGAGTGGGTGGTCCAAGTCAACATCATCTGGAATTTCAAGGACGCTCTGCGCCCCCAATGCAACAAGAGGCAGCTCTTTGCCGTACAACAACGTCCCCACATATGGGTTCTGAGTTAGAAGGTAATGTGTGAGGATAGCATATTCCTGTACACCTGGATGCACACTAAACCGAAACCGATCTAGTGGTGCCAATGCCTCAGCCTCCACGCCCACATCGGGTGAATTCTGCTCCTGTGTAGCGCTTATGCACGACATGTTGCTGGATTTTGTGTTCAAGAGGGCACCACGAAGCTCTTCAAGTGTTGTACTCTGGACTCCTTCAAGAGGAGGAAGCTGCTCCTCTCCATTGTATAGGTTCACATGCCGTTCAGAAGGGCTGGCTGTGTACGCAATAATCTTTCCAACAGCCGACACACATAAAAGTTGTATGTCAGGAGGGAACCTCAAAATTTTCTCGGAGAGCAGGTCCTCACAGACCTTGCATCGATCTCTGAGCCAGTATGGGTATTCACCACACGCGAAGGCCGTGGCTCCTAGAATGCGCCACTGCGTCGAGTTTTTAGGATGCGACTTGAGGATGGGGCTGCTGGCATTAAGCAACTTGGAGAGGGTCTCAACCCCAAATTGTCGGATACTGCTCACTCGCGTCAAGATCGTCACCAGCTCCCGCTCGAGCAGACTACCATGTTGGAAGACCGAGATCTCGATTGCACTTAAATCGATTAGAACGCTCAAATACCATTCAAAGTTTGTGATGAGACCGTAGTCATCCGTTTGAGCCATCTCAACTATGGTAGCTATGGTGGTGTTTGTCCACTCTTCGTCAGACGGGATGCGCACCGCAGCGTCCGCTATGGCGTCGATGATGTGCATGATACTCTTTGGAGTAACGAGTTCCCGAAGTACCTTTAAAGCCTTGCATCGAATCATGATGTCCGCATCTTTCAGGCACGACAGGACGATATCTCGGTGGTCCATTAAAACCTTAGGATTATCTAAACTTAGACGCGACATGGCATGGAGGCCAAGACACTTGAGGTTTTGGTCGGCGTCCTCCACAAAAAGCCGCATCTTATCAACGGCAAGCTTGGTAAGCGAAGAGACCTTGTTCATTCCATTGGCCACGGCGAGTATACACTCGTACTGCACAGACTTCGCGGTGGTGGTGGTGATGAGGTTTGTGAGGGGCTCCGCGAGCTTCGTACAAAGACGCGGCTCCGATTGAGCAAAGTGCCCAAAGACCTTGATAATCTTAATGAGGGTCCAATTACTGTGAATGGTAAACAGGAGGGAGTAAAAAGGGATCCCAAGGCTTAGGTAGTTAGACGGATTTCGCCGCGCAAGCTCACACAACACACACACCACGGCCCCCCGAACCACCGACCCCGTATCCTTATTCGCAGCCGTATCCTCGAGCTTTTCCCTCAGTTTAGGGTAGATTGGGCGGAGCGATTCGGGGAACTCCAAAAATATTTTGTAGAGACTTAACACCGCCTTCTTGCGAACGTAGGTGGAGGGATGCTGGAGGAGTTGGACGACGTCGGAGACGAGATCTCTGGCGAGTTCTGGCGTGCAGATGGTGGCGATGTAATACAGGGCAAGCCCTACCACGTACTGATTACTGCTGTTCAGGTCCCGCCTCAGGAGCGCCGGCGTCAAGGGAAGAACATCGGCGTCATCTCGGAACGTGGTGCATGCCGCAACATACCCAAGCCGTTTGTTCACGAACGTGGAGTCGGACATAATCTCAACCGTCGTGAAATTCGCGTACTCCGCGCTATAACCAAGCATGTGGAAATACATTGCCTTCTGAATAGCCATCACTTTTACCGTCCGAATGGGCGAGTTGATCTCCTTCTGGGTCTCATTGACAAACTGCTCAAGGAGCCCTTCCTGATTTTGCCCTGAGGTGTTGCGCCACTTTCGAAGGACATCTGCAAGGCTTTTTTGAAGAAACATCTGGGTTGTATTTTGCGTGAAGTTGGTCATTTCCTCTATCAAAATAGGTGTGTTATGATTTCCTCCTTCGATTTTTTTTGATTTTATTATTATGTTTTAGGTTAATTATTCACCTACAGGTTTATCATGAGGAAAGAAATTAGATTTGACAGTTTGAAAAAGGCATAGAAAGGGGACGAAATAGAGTGCACAGAGGATTTGTAATTCATTTTAAAACTAAATTCATTCAGCACATGAATGGGAATAATGAGTAACCACATAAACAAAAAGATAACCGATCAAAATTATAAAATATGTAGGCCGTTTCATCGTGTTAGAAAAAAGCCATAGCTGCCCCACATCAAGACCAACTGGACGAGTGAGGGGATCGATTACTTCTATAAATCCTTAAGCTAAAATCTACAGGCAAAAAGTATCGAGCTACGGTCTCCGCTCACAGCACAGCCCCTGTGGAGGAAGCTTTGGCCCGTTGCTGGCTTATCGTTTTATCCCTCATTTCATTGAGCTTGAGACGCGCGCTCTGAACAGCCTCTGTTGTTTTCCCGATTATTAGAAAGTACAGCGGTCTTTCAGTTTCCTTGAGTTTTTGTGAGTATTTGTATTTCGGATCGTAGTACACACCTTTCTTGACAATAGAGGTGTTCGTCTCCTCCATGACCGATCGCAAAAATGCCGCGCTCTGCAACTTACCCCGAACCACGTTTGATAAATCGTTGATTGGGTACTCCACTTGGAAGCGAATATCGTCACCATTTTCACTCGTTTCCGCCTCGGTCGTCTTTTTGGCAAAAGCAAGTGCCTTAGCGATACGGTCCTCTTGTTGTGAGGAAAGAACAAGGGCACCGTTTACATCAGCTTTACGAAGTGTAAGCGCGGTCGACATAGCGTCACCAGCATTGGATGCTGCTGTGGATGCGGATACGGGCACGATATCAGATTCCCCACCAGCATTGCTCTCCACATCGGAGTCGATCCCTTCTTCTGACGAAAGATACCCATCTAAGCCAGCAGCTTTAGCGGCCTCACGGACTTGCTCCTTCTTGTTGATGTCCATAAAGAGCTGCTTTTTAGCCTTCAGATACCCACGGTAAAAGCTTGCCTGAGAATTTGCCTTTCCATCACGCCGCAACTCGCGCATCTTCGTTGCGCACTCAAAAAGCTCCTCTGGTACATGCTGCTCCGCTCGCACAAGGCCATCCACCAGCTCCAGGGCGATGTCGTCGTCCTTACCGTGGACAAAAAAACTAATCGCGTGGCCCTTGCGCCCCGCGCGCCCCGTTCGACCAATGCGATGGACATAAGCCTCGTAGTGGTTAGGCAAGGTGTAGTTGATCACCAGATCCAGGAAAGGAATGTCTAAGCCGCGCTCCGCAACAGCTGTTGCCACCAAAATAAACTGCTTTCCTGGAGTGAAGTGCTCTAAAGCAAATTCTCGATCAATAGGATCCATACCACTGTACAACGTCGCGACTCGCCCACGGTAACCAAGTGAACTGAGTTTCGCCATGATCTCATCCACCTCTTCTCGTCGCTGAACGAAAATTAGGATCAAGCGCTGATTCTCGGCGTCGCATTCCTCACCCAAGATTTGCATGAGCTTTACAAAGCGTTCACTCTCCTTCCGCTTCTCCACGTCAAATTCATACACCTCCTCCTTGAAAAAATAGAAGCGCTGCTCAACATTCGAGGCGGGGGTTGGTCGGCCCCCGACGGTGATCTCAATCGGATCGTGCATAAACTCCGTCACGATCTTCTTGAGGGGTCTCGGCATCGTCGCACTGATCATCGCGACCTGCGCGTCCGGGCGGATATTTTTCAAAAACGCCTCCACGTGCTCCATAAACCCGCTATCAAAAAGCCGATCCGCCTCATCCACGACGACGAACGAGACGCGGCGAAGAGTCACGCTATTCCCATTATTCACCGTGAGCAAGTCGAGCAGCCGCCCAGGGGTGCATGTCATCACCTCACACCCCGCCTTTGCCGCGCGGATGTTCTCCGCCAGCGGGGTCGACCCATACGACGCGACCGCTCGTAACCCCACCGCCTCACACAACTCCCGCACCAGCCCATCCACCTGCCCCGCGAGCTCCTGGGTCGGGACGAGAATCAGCCCGACCGGCCCTTCCCCTTTCCCGCATCGCCCTTGATCCACACAATGGCGGACCAGGGGTAACGCGTAGGCGAGGGTTTTGCCCGAACCGGTTTTCGCCGTCACGAGGAGATCCCGCCCGGCCATCAAACACGGCAGGCCCACCGATTGCACCGCGAACGGGGCGTCAAACCCCCGCCGCTGAAGCACCTCCAGCAGCCGATCCGGCAGCCCCGTGGCGTCCCATCGTAAAAGCGGCGGCGGCGGATCGCGGCCGCGTAGTTTCGCCCCATCCAACTCCCGCAAGAGCCCTTTCCGCGCCTCCTCCGAGAGCGCCCGGACCTCCGGCGAGACGACGTAGAAGTCCTTTCGAATCGCGCGATACGCGACCGTGCGGTGGTCAATATAGCGAAGTCGACGTAGTTTCTTCCCTTCCGAGGCCGGGAGGGGGGGGAGTTTCGCCTGGAGAACCGCGGAGAGGACCCGCTCGGACTCCTCCGCGGCGTTGACCACCGTGAGGGCGGTCGACATCGGCGGTCGGACGGGTTTTCGCAGGGCAACCGCGAGCTGCTGGAAGGTGCTTGCAACGGGGTCGGACTGGGCGCTTCGCAGCCGCGCGGCGGGCGTCTCCGCAAAGGAGGCATCCCGTGAGGTGGGCCCCACACTCAGCTCGGGCATGGCAGACGCCTTGAGAGCCAGAGAGGTGGCCTTCGCATGCTCCAGAAGCCTATCCTGAATATCCTCCTCCTCCTCCTCCTCCTCCTCAGTGTCATCGCCCTTCGTGCTTGAGAAGCTGGAAAGAAGAGAAGCATCCGAGGAAAGGAGGTCCTCGTCCTTGGCCTGGTTCGGCGTTAGGTGGGGTAAAAGCCCCTCCAAGCTGTCGGTGCCGCTCTCACTATTGGTGTCCTCACCTAAGGCGGACTTGCGTTTCTTCAGCTGAAGATACTCCTCAATTTTCCTCTCCCGTTCATCCCGCGCATGCTTTGCATGCTGGGTAAGCAGTTCAAAATTCTTTTCCTTTGAGACAACTTTACTCTTCTTGTTTTTCTTACGAGTTTTCCCTGTTGAGGATGAAGAAGACAAGGAAGAAGCAATACTCGAGCTTCTTTCACGCTCTCTTTTTCCCATTCGAATATTATAATACTCCGAAATTTTGAGAAAGCTAGAGGAGGAATGTAATCCAAATCCTCGACTCAGGGAAGAAAAAAGATATCAATAATATAGTCCACCGGTACCACTCAGAAGGAAAAAATGCTTGTCAAGCCTACCCTTCAGAAGCGATGGCGTTAAACCCTATATATTGACACCGACTTATTCGCCAGCTTTACATACAAGGCAACAAAAAAATATATTTTTATTAGCGTAGTAAGGAAAATTATTTAGCTAAGCACCTATCCCTTGGGCAAGATATAGATAATCTTAATGAAAAAAACAAAAAAAAGGATAAAGAAAAGTTAAAACAGCTTTATACGCATCAAGAACACTTAGTCGCACGAAGAGATATTGACTTCAAGCTGGTCATCCTCTTCTTTTTTTGAGAATTCAGATAATTAGTTGCGCCTTATAACTGATAAGTAGGATGGGCATACATTAAAGCACGGGAGTATCGAACAAAACGGCGATTTAGGAACTAAGCCCATTGATGGAACAGATCCACCCTCTTTAAGAAAGACTAACTGATCTCCATCAGCTGTTTCTTTGCTGCGGTTTGGACCTTGTGATCGAGAGTGAACAACTTGTGGTCGCCACCCATTGGAAGTGGGAAAGAGAGTGGTGTTGGCTCAGCACATATGAAAACAAAGGGCGAATCCGTCTGACGCTCTTCAGCCGGAAAGGCACTTTTATAGGCATTTTGATCCATGCAATCGGTGAGATAAACATAACCTAAAAGAGCTCTCGTGGGATAATGCCTCGGGAAGACCTGTCCAGGCAGCACAAACTGAGCATAATGGTTCTCGACTTCCTCGATGTTAGAGGACTGCGTCGTCGCCGCGTGAATCCATAGCCGGCCGCGGTAGTTGGTACTCCACACACGCCCTTCATGAGTTTTAATACCCGCTATCAAAAGACTCGCCCATGGTTGGTGCATGGAAAGGCAGATACCCTCGTCGCGTAGCTTCATTAAGGGTGTTGGTGCAAAACGTAAAGTATGAGAACTCAATGACTGCACAGGAGGGGCTACAACCGCCGATGCCTGCTCATAAGTCTCCTCTTCAAAGTCAAATAGCATGCTGTCCTCCGCTATCTCAGGGTTAAAAATAAGCTCCGTCGGTTGTGCTACCCGAGACTCTCCCTGGAAAAGATGTGCATCCTCTTCAAAGTAGCTTTGCTGAACACGTTTCGAAACCTCTTCCTGACGCTTTACTCCACAATCCTTCGCATCTACAAGGGCTGCTTCATCGTTCGCCTGCGACGCCGATAACTCTTTTGACACCGCCCGGGCTGCTAAACCGCCAGGGGTGTACCATACCTTTTGCAACAGAGAGGGTAGAGGGCCCAAGTGGGCTTCAATCACAGGCAGTGCGTCTATTTCAGTGTACGAAGCCTCTGAATTATACCCGTCTCTTTCACTGGAATGGTCGTCCGCAGCACAACAGCTACCCTCCTCGTTCTTATTCGATCCTTTCCCTTCAGCCGCAGGGGCGTGACGGGCGGCGTGGGGGATATTTTGACTCATCAAATCTAAATGCACTTGGTAGACCCCCTGGTGCATCTTCTCAATATTTTTTTCCCGCTCGATATCCGCCAACGACTTCTCTTGCTTTCGACGCTCCTCATGCGACACCCACGCGCTTTGAGGTGAGAACAACGACGCGCTTTGATCGTCGATGACGGTCATTTGCTTCGCTCGGTTACGCGCGTGCTCTAAAAGAGCGTCGCGTCGGGCGATGGCGGCTTCGTAACTCTTTCGATTCAACTGCTGCGCTGCCTCGGTGACCTTGCCCTCCTGCACAGCAATTTCATACGCAACGCACATCGATGGGTCTAACCCGCAAAAATAGCACCTATCGTCCGCCTCCTGCTCACAAATGATTCGACCGCAATTCGCGCAGTTACCCCTTAAGCTATGTACCGTCGCAAAGCAGCCACACTCGAACCTACCGGGTTTCAGCGAAGACCCATGGCCCTTCTTTGGGACAGGCGCACACTTTCTACCGCCGGTTTTTCTGTTCTTCGATATAGTCAACTCTCCTCCGGTGGGTTTCACATCAGCTAAAGTAACGGAAACAGCCGAAGGCCTCGCTACGGTTTCACCTTCAAAAGGGGGGCCACCATCCACGCGGCGTTTGATGACCTCCGTAGCGAAGGACTCATCCAACATAAGGGTTTTTGTCCATTCGAAAACCTCAGCTCGTGTCTTGGTACGGATGAGCACGTCGACCATCCCATTAATCTCATCCTCTGTCATGCCTAAGCAGTTGTTGCTCCGTATTTCGCGGCTAATATACTCCACGAGTGCAGCTTCCGTATTGGGCGATTGGGGGGGCTTGGGCACTTTCCCCCACTTCTTTGGTGGCATCGCCGCTAAGTACTATATATATAAGGATTTCAGATCACTTCCCCTAGTGATTCAATTGTTAGAGAAAATATGATATGAGTCATTAAACCCAAGCATCTTAATACATTAGATTAAGGTAACCACTTTATATTGTTTTCTATTTTATTGTGGGTTGGTCTAAATCTACGAGCACAAGCATTTTCTTCCCCCCTAGCTTTTTCCTGCTAACGCATACCGACATTAAACAGAAATAATCTCAGTATTTTCAAAATATGGTAGCTGAATACCCTCCCGCCATGTAATACCCTTTCGAGCAGCAATTAACATCTTGCCGATATCACCATGACAAACAAGAAGCACATGTTGTCCAGAGTACTTCACATCCAAACCAGCCAATACACGCTTTGCACGTTCGTAGCAGCACGGGAACGATTCACACCCATCGACCTCCAAAAAGTATAATACCCTGTCGCCCTGAAGAATATTATCCCCGGCTAGCTTTGGAATATCGGAATACGGCCTACCTGTGAGAGCACCAAAATCACGCTCAATAAGATCATCATCAACTTTCACCTGAACTTGGATGACTTCATTCAGAATTTTGGCTGTTTGCTCGGCACGCTGCAGCGGCGAAGTGAAGATGGCACTAAATTTAATGCCAGTTTGTTTAATTTTTTCTGCAGTCATCTGCGCTTGCTTTTCACCAAGCGGAGAAAGAGGCTGATTGCGATGACCATTCAAAATGCCCTTCGCATTGTCTAAGTCCTGTCCATGCCTGCATACGTGAATATAGGCCATAACTAAGAAAGAGAATAATATAGTACTAATAGTATCGCTCTTAGCTTTGTGAAAAGAAAGGTAGTAATATTCGCTCTGATAATAAAAGCATGTCATTTCAAGGCTTAATCCGCTTCCAATCTATCCCAAACTTCTTCCTCATGAATGTGTGTAACATAGAGCAAGTCATAGCAATAAGTCTTTCTACACTTCATATCTAGGGCAAAACTATAAGAATGCTGTTAATCATGAAAAATAACAAAGCACTCTGCGAATTATGCCCTTAGCAATACCTGAACCCAGACACACCCACATACCTTAGCATATTTCAAAAAACCAACCTAAATAGAAAGCAGATAGTGGAAAAGTTCACGACAAACCAAAATCGTCGAATTTTGTTTTATGCCCATCGCTGTTGTTGTTTTTACCAAAAGTCATAAAATTAGCTATTTAATTCAAATCATCGCAATGAACACGACGAAAGCAAGTATAGCATATTAAGAAATATTAGTGACTTTGGTATATGTTTATTTATTGTAAAACAAACTAAACCTAACTTTTCGATGATAGTGATGGCTATTATAAAAATATTTAAAAACAAAACACTTGGAAGAATGTAAGCTATAAAGGGATAATTTTTTTTTTAGAAAAAGCCCTATTTGCTCTTTGCAATCTTAAAAGGAATGTGATGTGTTTCTAGACAGCTTTTTTTTTAGTAATTAATGTTGTGTACAAAAAAAGAAAGTAATTTTCACCAACGGATCCTTCGCACACGCAGTAACAGACACCTGCTCTGCTCAAAGCCTGCTCAGTCCTTGTACATCACACACACAGACACTATTGGCATAAGCAGTACAGACAAGCTTACAAGAGAAGTAAAAAAGAGCTATGAAATCTATTTAAATTATATGTATACTATGCTTAAAGAGAAGAGATAGAACAGAAAGTTAAAATTAAAATTAGCTTCTAATTAGTTCGACAAGCTTGTAATTCAATCATTATTATAGGGCAGAGACAAGTGTCCGAGCTTGGGTGACCAAGTCAAAAATTCAAAGAGAACATGTCAAATGAAGTTCAAACAATTGCAAGTAGAAATAATGGGACATGTTGGGTGTGATATTTTGTGCTTTACTTTAAGCAAGCAAATTGAAAGAAAAAAATGACCTACAAAGGAAATACATTTTCCTTTTGCCAATCTGCCCATGAAAGAAGCACGTTCAGAGAGCTCGGCCCATTTGAATACAACAACTCTTCATTAACTTCTCGGGCTAACTCGTGGGGGGTATACAAGGTTGTGCTGATTCTTTCAGTCGATTGGTATCTATTAAGTAAAAATGAGATGCTGTCCAAATAAATTCGATGCGCTGTTCGCGAGGCTTCACATTGAGGAACCAAAGGAGCCACTTTGGTCGCGATGAAAACCATCGCCAGTTGAGTATCTTCAATTTTAAGCGACTTCATGCAAAGCAGCTTAATTTTAACAACAGAGCCGGAAGGTAGCATCGCCGCCGCTTCATCGTAGAGCTCATCTAAGCAAAGAATTTGAGCATTTTTTCTTTTCTGAACGTCAATCAACACACCAGGCACCTTAACTACTTCAGAATCCGTTCGAGGCACCTTAAATGGACCCGCCTCTACATCGTAGGCTGAATTGCTATCGTCAACGTACTCCTCAAGATCAGCATCAAACGCTGCAAGTGTGCGGGCCATGCCTCGACGTACTAAATAGGAACGAATGATGTTGGACAATGCTTTGTCTTCATTAAAACTACGGTCTCGCATAACAGCCTCCTCGACCATCGTCCAGGCCAGATCATCCGCTAAACTCATTCTCAAGAGCAATGTGTTTCCCTATCAATTTATTGATTTTTAGTGTTCGTTTTGTTCCCTCTGATTTGTCGCTTCAATGAAGCCCGTATTAAAGTTTCAGTGTGCTTGAGATTGACGAAGAAACAGATAGGAAAAAGAAATAAACCATGAATGCATCATAAGGAAATTCAAAACTCGTCACAACAGTCTCTATTCGCTTATTTCTAGCCCTCCCTCCCCCCCCCCGTCATGTATAATTAGTCCATTATTAACTTATATGCCACTTCTGATTGAATAAATGAAAAATATGATAGTTTTATGAGAATCTCTCAAGTAGCACTAAAGTCAGCATTCAGTTCTTGTTATCTAATCGCATCTCTTTGAAGAATACCTCTGGCAAAAAAAAATAGGCAAACACGCAACTATAAATAATTATAAAAACTACCTTTTCTTTTGCGCACTAACAATATACAACACTAAAAGAAAAAATGCAAGCACAGCGCGAAGGCTACTGTGTATGAACGATGCAACACAAGCATCAAAACAATTTCACGTTTCTAATTCTCATGTCTAATTGGGCTAACTACACCTCGAGAAATTTGGCTTGCAGACAATCATCAAAATAATAAGAATGAATACAAGAACGACTGCGATGATTATTAGCGTCAACTTAATATTCTTCATACATAGATTCCGCTTCAGCTCAGTGGAGCAATGCTGGAATTCCTGAGCCTGATTTGACAAACTAGTAGCCCTATCGACTAGTGTATCAAGACGCTCGCCGCGAGCAAGGACCTTGTCCATATTGTCCATCATCACATCCACAACCTGGTTGATTTCTTCGTTAAGGGCCGTAATCTTATCATTTTGTGGATTGTTGTAAAACTCCATCTTTTGCTGAAGAAGTTTCTTGCCATTACGAAGCTCAGACCCCTGTGGACCGACACTACCACGAACAAGCGGCTCGACTGCTTCCAGAAAGGCAAAAATTGTACGCATACGCATATCGCTTGTTGTAACACAGGCAACAATGCGACCCTCACCATTGCTGATATAATTATAGTTCACTCCACCCTCCTTATCTTCAATTGTCTTTCGTCGGTATTCCTTTGGGGAAATAGTCGCGATCACCTTCTGCATTGTCTCAGCTAACTGTGGCTCCTCATCCATTGGATACTCAGCAAGAAGTTCTTTGCCTTCATTAACACAACT